TTTGCTTTGTGTGCATCAAATATTTTTGCTTTGTTCATTTGTAAAATATAAGATGCAAATGGGATATCAGAGGGAGGAAGTAAGATAACTTGTTAAGGGAGGGGACTGTAACCACTGAGACGAAAACAAAGGATATGGTTTGTTGAATGTAAAGCTGATGATCTGATCTGTAAACCTTCACTCAATTCACAATAAAAAGTTAAAAAATAAATAAAGTTACCAACTTTAGAAATTGGTGAGTTCACACTAAATAAAACAACCAAAGATAACATACTACAGTAAAATCTGTGGAAGTCAGAACTTGTGTAAGGTGGAAGGAAACCTATCTGAGGAAGAAATGCCAAGTACCTTGCACTACTAGAGAGCAATAGAAAATTGGGAATATTGCCATCTTATCAGAGTTAGAAAAGTTAGGAGACCTACAAAAACAAGGCAATCAATTCATGTTACAGCTCTCACAGGTTTCACTATATTTTCTATCAAACTAGTACATGGTAGCATCATTAGTGGGCAATATAGAAAAACAGAAGGCTACTCTTTGGGCTATAATGATTCTTGCATAATTTTTTTTCCCCCCTGAGGAAGTATTTATTGGCAATTAATATTGGAAGAAATTACTTTTAAAGGTCATTAAAAGTTATTCACAATTACAACACATAATCTTCTGAGGTTGTCAATGATATCCTAACAGAGTAAAATAACCATTATACCAAAAAATGTTACTGCTTGGGCCATAAATCCTACCTGACAAAAATTCTACCTAAACTTGGAAACCAATCTGTCTTTTCACTTTAAGGGGGAAAAATAAACAAAATAAGGTGATATCCCTTGGGAATTAACAAAGTAATTAAGAATAACTGAAGGAATGGATATAAAAAGTATATGCAATTAATGGCTCATGGCATTAGATCCTATTGTGTTTTTTTAAAAAAGAGAAACTAGTGAATAAAAAGACTGAAAATACCTTTTAGATAACTAGAACTAAGATCTGATTGGGATTTGGCCTCATGAAGAATGGCTACTTTAGTAATCCATACATTCTTGTTCTTAGACATGTTCAGTATAACCACCTTTAATCACAGCTTAAATGTGCTCTTTAATAAAGCAGTCATTAAAAAGTTACCATAGCATCATCTGGATTGTAGTCATCAATTTGTTCAAAAGTATTTATATCTTTATTTCCAAGTGCTATTTGAAGAGCTAAAGAATCATCAATATACCTGTTACTGAGATTAAGGAAAATTACATTTATTAACAACCAAACAAAATGATACTGTACTAAGACAGAAAAATATTTTCTATTGTCACAGAAAATCTCTAAATTTATGATAATTGGATTTTACCAAAACCACTGGCATAGTTAACTAGTCCCTACTCGCCACTGCAGAAGTTGACTGTCTTCTGAAACAAAGTCCCAAGTCATCACTTATTTGCCTTTCAAGGGTGGTTGAGGAGGTTACATGCTGTTAAGTCAATATAGGGTTTCCAAGGCTGTAAATCTTCACAGAAGCAGAAAGCCCCATTGTTTTCCATCAGAGCAGCTGGTAGATTCAAACTGTTCATGTGAAAGTTAGCAGTTCCACTCATAACCCACTATGCTGCCAAGGCTCTAATCTTTCAAGAGGGATAGAGTCATGGCCAGTGACTGTGAAAACAAAACAACAAAAAAGCATTGTCTCCCAGTACATTTACCTACCTAGAAAGTTCTTCCTAATAAATCGACATTGTCAGGAGCGATTCTCTCAAGACCCACCTTTGGAATGTGTGCTATGAGTGATTAACCCTGTGCAGATTTCTGTCGTGTGAATCTCTAAAGAATTAGCATATTCGAGCAGATGGGCATCTGATTAATAACAAAGTTGCTCTAAATTTTAACTAGCATGTTAACAAAAATGAACAAAAACACATTTCACCACACAAAAAAAGGAAGCAAAACATAATTTTCAAGCTTTTACCTCAATGCCTCATTAAAATATTATCATAAAAATTTACAATAAACAAACACAAAATTCAACCATTCTGGTTCAGAAAGGATACCACCCAGCATAGCTTAGTGTTTCAGGATCAATATCTTCTTTATAGGCATTCAAGGGAATGAGTTTCCTTCTAATGGGATCAAAAACCAGTTGATAAAGGAAGGTGTTATTGGCACGAATAAAGCCTTTGATATAATCCTCTGGTACTGTTATATTCATCTTGAGATAATGCCCAATTTTCTTGATAACCTAGCAAAGGATGTCAAGGGACACTAGTTAGTTTTCAGCAACAAAAGAATGTTGTTGTGAATTGCCATCCAGTCGGTTCCAACCCATAAAAGCACCCTGTATAGGGTTTCCAAGGAGCCACTGGTGAGCTTGAACTGCCAACCTTATAGGTTCAAAACAATTTTGTAGTCTGGCACAGTAACAAACAGTGCCACACCTAGGACTCCAAACAAACCTATTATTTCCAAGATAGATCAATTTATAAGTAGATTATAGAAAAATAAGGAAGGACAGAAAAAAAATCAAAAGCTTCCATTTATATTAAAAACAAACAAAGAAAAAAACCCTACCAGCAAACATAACCATCTTCTGTCACTTAAAAACTGAAATCTCTATAACTAATATTCTTTGGTTTTTCTATTATTAAGCCAAAGAATCAAAAGCTCACTTATACATCAAGTTTATGTTCCTAAGTGTTAACTTCAAAATATATTATTCTTCCTCAAAGTCTCATCCATACAAAAAAAACAAAACAAAACAAAAAACCTAAGAATTAAATAAAATATTCTTAGGTTGCATCTTTAAAATTAAGTCAACATTCAATCTTCTATTAGTCAAGGGTGGCTACACTGGAAAGGGTCTTAGCGGTTATAAAACAAACTCATCGTTTAAGTAAAAACTAGAAAAAAAAACTGAAATGATCCTAGGGTCACAGGCATGTTATTCTATTCCAAGCTCCACCCCTCTCTCCCACATGTTACCTATTCCAAGCTCCACCCCTCTCTCCCACACTAAAGACTTTTACATTGTATTACAACATTCTTATCCCTGAGCATTCATGTTTTGTATTCTCAGAAACAGAAAATGGGACTGTTGCTCTGAAAATCATAAAGTCATTTATAGAACTATGAGAGGAGGAAAAGTTAACTTCTTTGATGACTTTCTGTTGTTGTTTTTAAGGCAAAGACATCAGAGAAGCTGTCCAGAGATATGTATTAGACTGAATGTGGAGAATCCAGCTGCTTTCTATCTAGATGGGTCTGGTGGAAGGGGATGGGAAGGACGCAGATAAGATTCTTTAGATTCAATAGTGAGTAACTGTTATCATGACTAATTGTGACTGTCACAATTGTAAAAGCATAAGATGTGAAACAAAACGGGGGGAATAGTTAAATCTTTCATTCCAGGAACAGAGGACCCTAGGACCATCAGCACAGCAGCGCATGAGCAGAGGATAGGAAACGAATCAGAGAAACAGCAACACCAGAGATAGAAGCAGAGGTGATGGTATGGAGAGACAGAGCAGCTGAGAACTCTAGACCCCTGGTATAAGGAAGGCTGTGTGCCAGCGGACAGGAGGCTGGCTTGTAAAATGAGCCCTTGGGTCATTTAAACAAATATATATTTTCTGTGTGTTTTGTGTACATCAAAAAAAAAAAAAGAGGGAATAGAGGTAAATATTGTTAACCAGTGGTGCATGGAGGGGATTGTAATCATTGCAATGAAACAAAATATGATTAGTTGAGTGCAAGGCTAATGATTTGTCCTATAAACTGTCACTCAATTCACAATCAAAGCTTAAAAAAAATTTTTTTTTTAAAGGTATTACTGTTAGTTTTTAATGAATCCATATAACAAAATTCTTTGTTTTCATTTCTGATTTGATAAATATCAGCAACTATAACCCACACAAGCAAAAATTATTGCCACAAAACGTTTTTAAGAGGACAAAGGAATCCTAACATCGAAAAGTCTGGGAACCACTGCATTGGTGTGATGCTGTAGTATAACCAACCACTGGACTGCCTGCAAATGGCAAGGTTGGCGATTCAAACCGGTCAGCATCTCCCCAGAAACCGTACGCAAGGGTGCTATATACTCAAGGGCAGACAACAATGACAACAACTATAGAATGATAGGCTAGAAATCAAGACACTTACGCCCTTACATCTCTTGATATTAGTTTTAATTTTTAAAGTTACTTCTTTATCCATTGCTGAAAAAAATGAATCTTCCCATGTAGAATCAGTTTAAAACAGCATGCTATAGTTATTTTCTCACTTTAATGAGACAGCTTAGTCTATTGATACAACAATATTTAAAATCAGTATTTTATGTAGTTTATTCTGTTATTTAAGAAATGTTTCAGAAATCGAATATGAACCTTGGTAGAGCACTCTTACCTTTATAATATCTGGATTATTTGCTAATCGTAGTAGCTTGCATGCCTTTGCTAGTCCAATACCACGCAGTGAAGAGAGATAGTCACAGCCTGAGAGAATGCACATATAACGGAACTTCTCTTCTGTAAACACATCTCCAAGCTGTCTACACATTCCTAGACGAGCCTGATCAATTTCCAATCCATTTCCAAGTTGGTCCATTTTTAAAATTACCTTCAAAAGGAAGGAAACATGTTAATAGATGAAGGCTTATTTCTTATTTTTCATTATCTACATCACTGTAATAATTTAAAAAATAGTAATAAGGAGTATTTTTTCTACATCATTTATCACTGAGAGATAGGTAGGGAGGCTTATCATTACCAAATTTGCAAATCCAATTAAAGTACAGGATATGATTTAACAAAGCTATACAAGGGGGCTTCAAAAAATTTGTGGAAAAAGAAAATGAAAAATTTCCACGAACTTTTTGAAGTCCCCTCGTACATCCAGTCAAAAGTCATGACTAAAAAGCTGACTCTCCTTACTCTAGTACAATAAAATGCCCTCTCTGCTCTCTCTTTTCACTTATAGCATGATAATCATGTTACATACGAAAGCTTTCTCTCCTTATCATCCAACTTACTTTTTTAAGGTGACACATATTTACATTTCACATTTTAAGGCAACACATTTACTATAGAAATTCTGGAAAACATACATTCAGGAAGAAAACACTGCTCATAATTCTTCATTTGACACCGTTACCCAGTATTAACCTTTTGTGATAACCATTCTAGTCATCTATGAAAATATAAAGTATAAATATGTTGTTGTTGTTAAGTGCCATCGAGTCAGTTCCGACTCATAGAAACCCTGTATAGGATTTCTGAGGAGAGGCTGTTGGGTTTGAACTACTGACCTTGAGGCTCGAACTGACCTTGAGGTCCAGGGTATTACCCTACAGTGCTACATATAACACCATCCTATAGTTTTATATCTTAAATTCTCTCCCTTAATTTATCATTTTTCCATTAAATAGTTTCATTCATAACTCTAACTATGAAGCATGCCATTAAAGGATGAATTAGCTAACTACCTAACCCAACTGTAAAGCATACAGATTATCATTATTAAAAAGACCAACACATCTACATTTTATTAAATTTTATGGGAAGTAACAACAAAACCCTCCAACATTGGGGTCCTACTCTGAAAACATGCCCTTTATTATACTAAATGTCAAGAAGCAAAACTTTTTATTTTGAATAATTATTGTTTGAGAAATCTTGTATGATCGCTGATGACCACCCTGGTTTACTTGTGAGTGGAAGTGGGGGAAATGCAGCAATGAAGACATGGGCTAAGTTTGGCCATATTCCATAGACACCTGTTGACCTTGAGATGGTCTGAAGTTTAGGGAGACATGTGAACTCCCAAACCCATGGACACTGACCTAGCCACTGGGAGCTAGAATTGAGAATGAAGCAGCCAACGGGGCTGAAGTGGGGGGAGATGTGCAAGATCTCCCAAACTTGCAGAGAGTACCCATTTGACCTTGCTTAGATGACTAGCTGACCAGAACTCAACTAGATGAAGATAAAGAAGTCTGATACAGTGAACAGGCGTAAACTGGGAGACTTTCATAAACTGGACCTTTGATTATAGCTATAGTTACTGTTGCTGTTGTTGTTAAGTACTACTGAATCAGCTCCAACTCACAGTGACCATGTATATCGTTTCCAAAGAGTGGCTGGTGAGTTTGAACCGCCAACCTTGAGATCCAGTGCTTATCAGCCCATCAGGGAAACCTCCCTTCTAAAACTGAAACTCAGAGGGAACCCACGAGTAGCCTAGTATGCTCACTACTGACCACCCTGGTCTACTTGTGAGTGTTAAGTGGGGGAAATGAGCAACGAAAACAAGGGCTGACTTTGACCATGTTCCACTAACATCTGTTGACCTTAAGATGAGAAAGTAAAAAGGAAGGGCTGGCCTGAAGTGGAGGGAGGTGTGAGAGAGCTCCCAAACTTTCAGATAGTCCCATGTGACCTAGCTTGGATGGCTAGCTAACCAGAACTGGGACCAAATGTAAATTGTTACAGATTGATGAACTGGACTTTTGATTATGGATGCAGTTGCTCAAGATTCCAACTGAAATGGAAGAATTCTTCCTATCAAGGAGCAAGCTTGCCTCTTCAGTACACTGGGTTGATAGGGATGGGCAACTTAGAAAATGGCTATCAAAAATGGGGAGCTATAACGGCACAAAATGGCTGGATTAATAAGCTTTCATGAATACGCTTAGTTTCAGAATGAGAGGGGTAAGGTAGAATCCCCACGGAATAGTTTTCCTCTTTTCCAGATGGGTCTGGTGAAAGGGGCTGGGGGATGATGGGGATAGGATTTTATGATTCAATAAAAAGTAATTGTTATCAGGACTAATGGCAATTGTCACAACTGTAAATGTAGAAAACGACTAACTAAAAAGGGGGAGTAGATATCTTTCATTTCAGCAACAAATAAAAACTTTAAAAATAATAATAACAATTTTGTTGTTATTGCTATTGTTAAGTGTCATTGAGTCAATTTAAACTCATAGTGACCCTGTCTAGGGTTTCGGAGAAGCGGCTGGTATAAGTTAGAACTGCTGGCCTTGTGATTCAAACTGACATAATGGTCCAGTGCTTATACTATACCACCACACCACTGTACAAGTAGATACTGATTACATAAATAAAATAAACAGCATAATTATTCTTAAAGATAAAATATTTTTAGCTCCTTAAGTACTACTTTTATCTACAGAGAAAAGCAACATGTGGTAGCTACAGTCACGTACCTTCTTACAGCCGAAGGCTAGGAGATCAGAGTCCTCTGTGACTATGGCCTGTACGATGCCAGCTTTGTTAAGATAGGCCAACTGAGCATCAGCTTCATATGGAGCCACAAGACAGTCTACTCCCTGGGAGCGAGCAGCCTGGAAGAGGAACAATGTGAATATCTAGCACAGCATCCATTTTGTGCTAAATAGCTTCCAATCTCTAACCCATTTTATTACTAGTCTTAATATATAGTTTTCTGTAAGTCATTTACTTTAAAGTATAAGTTTTCTACTTTGAGTTCAAGTATATGAGAAATTAATCATATGACCAGTGAGAAATTAAAAAGAAAAATCAATTTGTAAATTGGGAGTAAAGAAATACTGAGAGACATTCAGAGGAGAAAAATCATGAAAACAAAAAAGTGTATAAGGCTTAATTATTTAAAACTATAGAAAACTTCCATTTTAAGAATGGTTATTTTCTAAAAGCATGAAAGACAGTAGTTTGGAACATTCAATGTATTTTCAATGTGTTTTCCCTATATAAATCACTGGACTCTTTGTTAGGCTTTTGTAAAAACCTATCTGATTCACTGTAAGACACCGTATTGATGAAACTGTAAAATCTAATTAGTATATTTAAAACAACCCAATGTGGAAAGAAACTTTAAAAAAAATCTCAGTCCCCAACAACCTGACTCAAAATCCAGGCAGGTGGAACAGAAACTTCTTTGTCCCAAATAAGGGTCTCATAGCTCCCAGGCCAGAGGCAGAGGTTTTGAGAAGAAATAGGAAAAGAGGTTTCAAGATCCTATGACTATCAATTTTAGCAGCAAGTTGTAATCTGTGCTGCTTTTATTTCAGATTCCTGCCTAGCTGAGGTTCTACTCTCATCCTTTCACACCCTTACCCAATCAGGGTTTCTCCTCTATACCACTATGCACAATGAGGAAGCACAACTTTTCTCTTATTCTTCACTCTTCCGCTTACACACCATCCTCTCCTACCACACTGTTATTTTGTTGTTGTTCAGTACTATCAAGTCAGTTTCAATTTACAGCAACCTTATATAAGGTTTCCAAGGAGCGGCTGGGGAATTCGAACCCCTGACCTTTTGGTTATCAATCCAGTGCTTATCCTACAATGCCCCACCAGGACGTCCTCTTACCACACAGAAAGAGTAAAAATATGCCCACGTAATAAAAAGCCAAATGAGCATTGGTGCTTATTTTAGCTTGGGAACTGGATAGCAGTACTATAAGTTAAAAAAAAGTTGACCCCACCTCTATCATCATTCCTTTAACAACCAGTTTAAAAACAGGCCCCAAAAGGGAAACATGAAGGTTGGAATTATGGGACACTTGACAGTTGTGTGGGTAAGGAAGTGATGATGGATAGGGCTTGTAAGTAGAAGCAGACCACGAAGAAGAGGAATCTGTAGAGCTCCTGATCTTACTGACCTCTGATGGTTGCTGTAAAGGGAAGGGTATAGCATGGCAGTGGGATGATCGTGAACTCAGGAGTTTGTTCCTTTTGTTCTATGGGACAAAGAGCCTTAGTGGCTCTGTAGGATAAACTCTGGCCTGTTAACAGCAAGGTCGGCAGTTTAAATTCACAAGCTGCTACATGGGAGAAAGATGCTCCCTTTAAAATGTATAGTCTCAGAAACCTTATACAGTGTCAGTGAGTCACAATCGACTCAGAGGCAATGGGTTTGATTTTGGGATTTATGGATCAACATGCCCAATGAAGTTCATCTATCCAAATTCCAAATTACTTATCTCAAAAGGGAGAGCCTCATTTACTCCTTAGGCTTTCTCCTAGGGAAGTTGCTGGACACTCGTCTATCTAAGTATATCATTCCCTTCTCCAATACCTGCCTTTTCATTGAGATTAATGTCTTTAATTTCATGCTTTCCCATTAACAAGTAACTTATAATTGTTGTTAAGTACCGTCGAGTCGGCTCGGACTCATAGCACCGCAGTATACGGATTCCTAGAAGCAGAGCAGCTGATGAGTTTGAACGGAAGACCTTGCAGTTCAAACCGACCTTGAGGCCAAGTGTTTATCCAATGGAACCTAAAATTAGCTTAAATAAATTTAGTCATTTGCAACTTTGGCTACATTTCTCAGGCAGCTTACTTTAATTACTTTGTGAGCCATCATATGTGTGATATTGATGGACCGAGTAAAACACTCTCTGGCTTCTGACACTTTCCCCTCACGGAGAAGCTGTTTTCCCTTAAGAAGATTGGCTTCACGTCTTCTGCAAGGGAGAAAAAATTTTAAGAGGCAGACTCGAATAGCTCTAATAAAACTGTATTCCAACATATTTTCCTGAAATAAATATTTTAATTAATTTGAAAATACACAGTATATTCTTGAGAATACTGACCCAAATCCTTTGGGCTACTCAGCAAATAGAACAAGTAAGATATGACATAACTTGTTATGAAAGTTACATTATCATCACTTCTTCACAGCAGTGTTTTATGTCAAAAGAAAATAGAGTACCAAAGATTCCCATGGAAACAAAATGTGAACAAAGGCTTTTACACCATCAATCTTAATTTTTAAATATGAAAGCCACCAACTTATCAACATGACAAAGAATTAGCGAAATACTGTGTTTGTGACTCTTTCATGTGGATTCATCTAAAGAATAAAGTATCATCTTCCAGGCCTCAAGGGACTCTTGTTATGGAAAAAAGGAGGTACACGTGCAATATAGAGGGAAAAAGCAATCTCTACTACTCAGTTGGAATCAGAAGCATTACTTTGAGCTCATGAGGTTTTTATTGTTCAGTAAATGTACACCAATACATACAGTTCCTTGTTCTGCCAACTGAAAAGTTCTTGTGGAGTCGAGCTGGCTTATAGCAAGGGCAGTGTGGAGTCCTGGTGTGGTGCTATGAGTAAATGCACTGGACTCCAAAGTTCAATTCCAAGGAAAGCTCACCAACCACATTTTGGAAACCTTATACAGGATTGATATGGGTCGGCCCCGACTCCAGGGCACTTAACAATAGCAACACAGGACAGTACAGAACTGCCATATATGGTTTCTGAAGCTATAATCTTTATGGGAACAGATTACATTTTTCTCTCATGGGGCAACTGATGGGTTCTAATCACTGTTGGATTGCTGTTGTTGTTGTTGATAAATGCTGTTGAGTCGATTTCGACCGATAGTGACACTGTATAGGGTTTCCAAGGAGCAGCTGGTGAGCCTGAACCACTGACCTTGCAATTAAATGACCTTGCAGTCTGACGCATTAGCCCACAGCACCACACCAGAATTCCTGCTGGATTTAGCATCCCAGAAATTAACCACAGTACCACAAAGGCTCCTCCTGATAAGGTCAAGGCTATGGAAATAAACATCATTGAAACACAGACGCTCATTGTTAATACCAAGTATGGAACAGTATTAAAATACTTTCCTTTACTAAAAGAAACCAAGGACTCTAAGACAAAAAGCTGATTCCAGTCCCAGGACAGGAAACATAGAGTGACCCTTACAGAAAAGCATCATACAAGATACTGGTTTCTGCTGCTTTCCAAAAGTAGAGTGTTCCAATGAAACCTTGTATAAGGCAAACTGCTGTAAACGAAAGAAGCAATTACCATTCATTTCATGTAGTTAAGCGCCCTCAAGTCCATTCCAACTCACAGGCACCCTATAAAGGATTCACAAACAGTGGCTAATAGGTTTAAACAGTCAACTTTTGCCATTAGAAGTCCAGTGCTTATCCTATAGTGCCACATCAGGAGCCCATCCATTTACATGGCAAACAATTTTGAGAGTTCCCAGACTCAAAAAGTATGCTACTAAATCATACCAAGTGACAAATAAACCCTAAAATAACACTAACACTGTGTTCACATTACAAAGCTAGAATAGCTTGATGTTGAGTGTAGTTCCTGGGGAAGGAGCACATCATCGACACGCTCACTGTTTAGGGTGCACCTCTTTAATGGCTCACTGGAAAACAAATGCGGAATGCTAGCTTCACTTTTTTTTTTTAAATGTTTCATTGTGAATTATGTTAGTTTACAGGAGAGAACTTTAGCTTTACATTCATCCTATCATATGTCATTTCATTGCCATGGTTACAATCCCCTACGTGCATCATCAACCAACCAAAGGGTATACCCTGCAAGCCTGGCCCCAGTCGTCAGCACACAGCCTCTCTCCCTCTATGGGTCTAAAGTCCCCAGCTGCTCCATCTTTCCACGTCATCATCTCTGCCTCCATCTCTGGCATCACTGTTGCTCTGGGTAGGGTCCACTATCCGCTCTTCTTCATTTATGGTCCCAGGGACCTCCGCTCCTAGACCGCAAAGTCAATCACTCCCCTCCTTTTGCTACAAAATGTCTCCCTTTACATTTCCAACCCTCACAAACAGTCCTGATACCAATTATTCATTATTGTATCATAAGAGACCTATCAAGGACTCTTCATATCAAGGAACAACCTTTTTTCCTTAGTGTACTGGGTTGATAAGGATGGGCAATTTAGAAACTAGGTATCTAAAATGGGGTGGGGGGCTACAAAGGCATGAAGCAACTAGCTTACAAGCTTTCATGAGTGTGCTTAGTTTCAGAATGTGTGTGTGTGTGTGGGGTGGGTGGATAATGTAGAATTCCCACTGAAAAGTTTTCCAGATGGATCTGGTGAAAGGGGATGGAGGATGATTCAATTGTGAGTAAACATTAGCAGCAGGATAATTGTGATTGTCACACTGTAGTTGTAGAAGATGAGTAACTTAAAGTGGGGAATGGTTAATCTTTCACTCCAGAAACAGATGATCCTAGGACCATCAAGAAGGTAGAGCCTGAGTGGAGTGTGAGAGCTGTACCTTGAAAAGTGGCAACAGCAGAGATGGTGGCATGAAGAGACAGAGCAGGTGGGGGCTCTAGGCCTATGGATTGTGTGCCTGCAGGCAGGGGGCTGGCTTGCAGAATGTATCCTTTGGACATTTAAATGAATATATACTTTTTATTCTGTATGTGAACATAAAACATTTTTGCTTTGTTCATTTGTGAAATAATAAGATGTACATGGGGAGCCAGAGGGAGGAAATACGAAAACTGCTGTTGCAAGGAGGGGACTGAAATCATTGAGATGAAACAAGTGTATAATTTGTTGAATATAAAGGTGATGATCTTGTTTGCATACCTTCACTCAATTCACAGTAAATAGTTGAAAAAAAAAATAGCCCTGTAAATACAGTTCAAATGAAAAACCTACACATTGAACACACACAAAAAATAGGCAAACAGAGGCCCCCAAAACACTAGTAAAAAGATCAATTTTGCTTACTAAAAATCAATAACCTTGATTTATTGGACATAATGCTTTCCAATCAAGAATTAGAGAATACACATACTAATATGTTTGTGTGATAAGCCCTGAGGATCTCTTTCTTCTCAGTAGTTATTCAGTCCCGTCACTGAATATGTATGAACACCTGGGCAGTGGGTTAGAAACATTGGGTTGCTAATGGAAACACTGATGGTTGGACTCCAACAGTTATCTGCTTCTAAAACATCAGAAACCCTATGTAGCAGTTCTAGTCTGCCTTATCATATAGCATACAGTATCTCACCTTAATACAATTAAATTAGGAGACTAAATACCGAATAAACTTACTCTCGTCTAGATTTCTCCACTTCCTTTTTGGATGGTAAGGTACATCCATCAAATACCAGAATAGGCTTGATTCCATGAGACTGCAACATATTTACAAATTTCATACAAAATCCTACATACCTATGAAAAGAGAAAAGTCAAGTTCAGTGCTTTGCATTTCTAAATGTAATTATTACCTTTGCTCTTTCTGAAACCTGATGGAAAAGAACAATATTGATGAGTTTCTTGGTTCCTCAAAAAATTGCATATGTTACTGTTGTTCAGTGCTATCAAGTTGGTTCTGACTCATAGCGACCTAGTATATGGTTTCCAAGGAGTGGCTGGTGGGTTTAAGCCACCCACCCTAAATTTAGCAGTCGAGTGCTTATCCTTCCACGCCACATCAAGACTCCAAGCAAATAGAAATAAAACATTTTTGATACCAAGTGTGGAATGGAGTTTTTGTTTGGGGTACACTGTGTTTACATTAATGGTGGTGGACTGTTTTAGAGAAGGATAGCAATATTAGTGATGAAACATGAAAAATGTAATCAATGCTATTGAGTTGTAAATGTGAAAGTGTGTAGGTGGATATTTTGGTGTATATGTTTTCACTGCAATAAAAAAAAGAGGTGGGAAAAAAGCTTCTCTTTAATTAATGTTGTTGTTGCTGTTAAATTCTGCAGAGTCGATGCCGACCCATAGCGACCCTGTATAGAGTTTCCAAGCAGCAGCTGGTGAGCTTGAACCACCGACTTTGCAGTTCAGAGACTCGTGCAGTCTGACGTATTCGGCCACAGCACCACACCTAGTGATAACAATAGTGACTGTACAACTCAACAGGACGTACCCAATTTTTTTTTTCACTAAAATAACAATCTTTTGTATACAAAAAAAGTTGGTACATTAGCATTTTAACTCATCTAGTTTAAAAAATAAAGATATTTCACACTAAATTCTTGCTTTCGTGTTTTTGTTTCTGTTTTAAAAATAAATAGAACATTAGTCCAATGAATCTGCTTCAAATGAGATAGCAGAGGTAAGACTTCTATCAGCACAGCCCAGATTCTTGGTCCCAAGAGAAGTCAAAAAGCGTTAGAACATTTTGACCCATTGAAGCAAAGCCTCATTGTGCTAACAAGGCTCACAGTGGACTATCTATACCCAAGGAATCTGAAATCACCACGGATTTTCAGAACATAGGTGTCCTGATGCTTTGGCTTATTACAAAGACTGGAAAAACTGATATAATTGCCAGGAATGATCTCTAATTCGGCAATGTTATAAAGCACACTGTCACTTCTTAATAAATCTTGGCATTTAGTAAACATTATCTTTCTGAAGGGAAAAAAAAAAAAGGGTATTTGTAAATCTTAATTGGAAAAGAATTAATAATTGGTCCAAACTTACTTATCAGTAGGTTCACCTTTCACTAGTTTTTCAGCACAAGCGATAGCTCCTTTGTGAAGCCAGCAGTATGTATCCACAGCTACTACCTGCCCTTTATACTTTCTCACATGGATAGGTTCAGAAGCGTCTTTGATAAACTGGAGCAATCCTTGTATCCCCATTGTGCCACGTTAACTGCATGACATGAAAGAAAAACAGAAATATTTAAAGCAAAACAGTTACCAAAAATTTTAGAAAAATAAAGACAAACTTTGGAAACTTATCCTGTTAAGATATTTGACAATCATGGCTCTTTAATATTTTAACTTGGCTCTTCCTGGTCAAACAATTGCTACATCTATAATATTTACATTAATCAACACGACCTCTAATGCCACCTACAGTTGCTCAGTGTTGATTCTTTCCAAAGTCTTTTCACATTTGGACCCATAGTGACCCTGTATAGGGCTTCCGAGGAGCGGCTGGGGAGCTTAAACTACCAACCTTGCCGTTCAAACCGACTTTAAGTCCAGTGCATTAACAAACAGTGCCACATCTACAAAAGTAGGTATGTCAAGGTATCATATTGACTTTACATAAGTTAGTATGGGAATGGAAACTCAAAAACAGAATTTGTAGGAAGGTAAGCATTTTAATTGCAAAATGTATTCAATTGATAGAAGTGAACCTGTACCTTTTTTAAGACTGAAATACACTGCCATTGAAATGCATTATTGGAAGCAATGAACAGTCTAACAAAAGCAGTGGTAGTACCAATCTCAGAAAGTTACCTCAAACCAAAGGTAACACTGCTGTGCAAGTTGAGCTTTAAGACGAATTCTAACGCTCCATCCTTTCTCAGCCAAGTTGCTGTACCTAGCCCTTTTGTATAAAAAAAATTCTGCAACTGCCATTGATTGCTAAGTGCCCTCAATTGATTTCAGAGGAGAGGCTGGTGGGTTTGAACCAATGACAGTGTGGTTAGCAATTCAGTGCTTACCCTACAGCACCACACCAGGACTCTCTCTCAGCCACAGTCCTTTCCAAATCAACTAGACATCCTCTTCTCTCTTTTTCTTCCTCACAATAAAAAAATGAAAGACAGAAATGAGCATTGAGCGGTTGCTTTGTATTTCATTAACAGATTTCTCCCATTAGATATTGAGTTTGGAAGCACCAGCGAAGAAAGTACAGGATCATTAGTCAGTCTTAACCCTTTTCATAAGGTATCAGAACTGGGACGCTATAGTACAGCAATTTTAGAAGGTCTCAGACGCTTAACGTCACTGCAGCTACAGGAGCGAGCCCAGGGATTTTGAATTTTAGATACAAGAGGTCATTTGGCTCTAGGTGGCTATCAAGCCCCAGTTTGAAGAAAACAATTAGTCTGACATCTCTCAGACAATGCCTCTATAAAAAGCCTCAATGGTGGTGGTGGTGATGATGTGCCATGGAGTAGGTTCCGACTCGTAGCAACCCTGCATAGGGTTTCTGAGGCTATAAATCTTTACGGGAGCAGAAAGCCTCATCTTTTGCCCGCAGAACCACTGGTAGTTTTGAACTGTTGACCTTGAGGTTGGCAGCCCAACTCATAACCACTGCGCTACCAGAGCTCCTTACAGAACTCTATATAGAACTGGTGTGGCACTGGGCTAATGTGCTGGACTACAAAGTCAGTTTGAACCACAAGGTCAGTGGTTCAAGCTCACCAGCCACTCCATGGAAATCCTATACAGGCTCGCTATGGGTCCAAACTGACTCGATGGTACTTAACAGTAACAGCACATAGAACACATAAACATGAAAATTGACATATATACATTTCACGAAAAATTTCTAAAACTCTTTTAGGCTAAAAGGGGTCTAGAATTTCCCCAGTGAAAAGGCCCCCTGCAGAGCCTTTGCAGTGTATAGGACCTTAGGTGGAATTTTGACCACCATCCAAAACCTTCTGAGGTGGGACAATCCCATTAGATAGGACAAGCAGACCAGTCTGGAACAGCTAGAGTGACAAAAGATACATCTTCAAAGAAAGATCATCAAGAAAAACCCAAGACAAGAAATGGCAGTATGACTATCTACTACAAGAATAAGCAAGCCATCAAGGAAAGCAATCAAGTTCCTTCAGGACAAACTCCCCTCCAAGACTGAAACTCAAAGGGAACACATGAGCAG